GTATTATTTGTTCATTAATCATTATATCAAGTCAAGCTATTTTTTTGACTTGTTTGCTGATTACTTATCTACTGCTTGATCTCAAAACTGTCTTCATGGCCTGGTCCTCAACTGGCAACCTGCCTTCAACAGTGAGATGGCCAAGCAGTCTAAGGTGCCAGACTAGGGATCAGGGCAGTTTCTGTCCACTCTTCTCCTCCCTTTGAGATAGTACATTTTACTGATAAGATTTAGAAATGTGAATAGTGTGAGTGAAAGCCCTGGTAAATCATATAAACCCATCTTGTACACAATGGTGAATGAGAAATGTCTAACATAGTATGGTTGTGAAATGGCACACTATTATTAATATCTACGTGGTAGGACTTGATTCAAAGGATATTGGATTGGCTGGGGGAGCAGGCTGAAGAAGAGTGCCTGAGAAGACAAGGCTGTAAGTACCTAGGTTTTTATAAAACTCTGAGAAGAAGAAATGGGTGAGAGAAGTCCCAGGTTTGAGGTATGACTTTTCATGAAGCAACCCTGGAGTCATATTTCATTAAGACATTGAGAGCATAGAATGGAACGTACTGGAAACGTCCAAAAAAGACATTTAGCATTGCTGCAGGTAGATATCAGGAGTCAAACCTGAGTGAACCACTATATACTGATACTAAAAAGCCATGGGTAATAGTTGCATTTACAATATGCCATATCCACCTATACTCCTCTGAATCAGGACCTTATTGGAGGTGGAGTTTGAGAGAGATTGGAGAGGGCCATAAAATATTTGAAAGCCATGCTCAAATATTGCTAAGCAGATAATGGGAGTCGAACCCTCTCAACCATATATACACCAAATAAATGCATGCCACTGCATCAAATGAAGTACAGTCAAGTACCATTAAGCTATTATCCACTTGAAAGTCCTTTCTTGTGGGTGGCTTTATATGGTTGGGAAGTGCTGAAGAGGAAGAAAAGTGGCAGTAACCCCCTGGACTTAGATTAAACTAAGGGCTTTGTCATAGACATTTGGTTTAAACATGTTTAAGCAAGTTAATCCTGTTTAAACCTTATTAATCTGCTCTTGCTCCATAAAGAAATCAAAAAAAGAATGAAAATTTATTCATATGTAAATACAACTTATAACTACAAGTGAAACAAATACTAAATAATATATACTATTTATCTTAGGGAATCAGCAGCTGCTTATGCTGAAGGAAGAGGTGGGGAAAGGAGGGTGCTGTGCTTGTGTTGAAGGAGATGGGGAAAGGGGATGCCTCTCTTGCATTGAAGGGGGTGGGGACAGGGGATGCCATGCTTGCATTGAAGGAGGAGGTGGGGATGGGGGGGTGCCATGCTTGCATTGAAGGAGGAGGTGGGGAAAGGGGATGCTGTGCTTGCATTGAAGGAGGAAGTGCAGTACTTTACACTCACCCCCCTGGTCCAATCAGACTGCTCGGACTCTACTTGGACTCCATTGGACTACTATGAAACTATTAATCACATATAATTGATTAATAACTTTCTTATCCAGTCTGAGTGGAGTCTGAGTGGAGTCTGAGCAGTTCAAATAGTCCAATTGGACTATTATAACACTATTAATGACTTATACTTAGTCAATACTTTTCTTATTCAGTTCAAGCAGAGTCCAAGTAGAGTCCAATTA